CAACCCTATAGTTGGAGAGAGCCTTATTGTCCTTGGAAAGGAAAATGTATTAAAATTTTATTTTACCACCCACAAGCGGGTAGCAATGTGGCATATAAAGTTTTAGTTCTGACGAAGAACTCTCGTAATCTATTTTTGTGCAACAAATGAATTTTGAGGATTGTGAGTAGAAATCATTATCTACCTAAATGAGCACCTTTATGCAACAGGTTTTATAGTTGTTTAATAATTTTTGATATATTTTATTAATACTATTTAAAAAATCTGCAGTTGAATGAAATGGGTAAAAGTGCTGATAATAATGTAAATAAGGAAAATGCCGTTTCATTCGATAACGTCTACTCTGCGATTATGTGGAAAGAATAACAAAATATATATTAGGATGCTTTGTTTCATTAATTTTATATTTCAGTGTAAATAATTTAGAAAAGTACTTATCTTTCTTCTCCCATAGTAACACACAGAAAAATTTGTCACTCATTCTCCGGAAAGAGCCAATTAGGATCGTCCAATGAAAGGCGCGAAACCTTAATTTACGTAAAATAAACTAATCATAAAAAAATATCGCTATAATCTTGAGATAACTGAGGTGATAAATCGGGGTCGCGAACTCCACTTTGCAAAATCACTATGGTCTCAGTTATGCGTAGTTAATTTTATAAGCTATGCAAACATCGTTATTTCAGTGTCACTGAAAGATTTGTTATTGTTAATGTAAATACAGGCCGATGTCGGATCGTGTCTTTAAAACTAACGCATCCGCCATAATTAATAAATTCCTCGCAAGGGGAATCTGCGCCTTCTAACAAAAGGTCCTTTTAGGCTCTTAAAGCTTTATGGTTTCTTTGTAGTAGATATTCCCCAAATCCCTAAACAGCGCAGTTAATTAGGTACCCAGGTTTGCCGTTTCGTTTTATAAGAGATGAAAGAGAGCCCAAAATTACGTCCAAATAATACTGTCATTATGGTTATCTTTAAGACTGGCGTTTTATAGGCGAGAAATCGCACTTTTAATACGACAATAATAATACAAAATCCATCTAAAACTATAGAAATGTTGAAATACAAGGATTCCTTTTGTCGAGATTTTTGTAAAAATACTCAATACTTAATTGTGAGTAATTCAGGCATAAAAGCATTATGTGCGGTGTGATTACGTTTACACAACCATACGCACTTTTCTGTACCTATATTCAACAGGCGTATAACGTTCAAAAAACGTAATGACAGACGTAAGAGGTAAAAATATGCTTTTTTCCTTATTTTGAATGTATTGTCGGGTTGTAAACTGTTATACCGTTGGGAAGACTTGTGTAACTAGTACAGTGAAGAGATATTATTATATTCTAACTTGCTTAATTTTTCTAAAACGCTCGACAAAAGACTGCCATAAATTGACCGAGAACTAAGTATAGAAACGCCCCCTTAACAAAAAAAAAAATAAATTGGATTGTATAAAAACACTATTCCAGTACTGATATCCTAAAATAGGTACTTATTAAAATAAAAATTAGTGGTTGTAAATTAAAGCTAAGATATGTCTTTATTTAATTCATTTCTTTGCAGCAATTGGCAACTTGAAAATTAGTAGAATGTTAAGTTTTGTCAAAAATGTTGATCCTTTACGACCCTGTGTATCCGTTTTGTTAACAACCTGTAAAAAAATATTTATATTACGGAAAACGAATCTGATGTTCATTCTCTGATGTTAGTATATAATAGTTAATAGAATATAATTATGTACTAGAACTTTCGGATTAGAATATTTTTAGAATTAAATAGCACTAGGAAATTTAAATGCAGATTGAAAGGAATGACTGAATAATAAGAATCTAACAGTTCTAAACTTAATTTTTTTTATGTAATTTACTATTAACAATTTTTTCAACATCGCACTTTTAGCAGAACAATAGTTGACTATTATTGATGCAAAAAATAAGTAAATTTACGTATTTTACTACCACCTACAAAAATTTGGTTAAATTTAGGAATTTAACTGGGTGAAAAGTTTGATCTGTTCTGAGTACTTTTAATAAACAACTTTCGGAATACATTTTCTTTTGTACGTTGGAATGGTTGATTAATTTAACAAAATGTGTAAATATATCTTTATCATATTATATTTTAACACAAGAATATTCAAATTGGATAAAAAAATTGAGAAAAAAAATAGTTCTTTATTCTGCATCTAGTTTCGTGAACAATATTACTTGATATCCTTAAACATTAAGAATTTCTATAAAAATGTGTCAATAATTATTGAACGACTAATGCACTTTATTCGAATTTGATATGTTTAGCTTTTGATTGTCCACAAACGCATGTGCAGTCCACAATTTTTTTTCTTCCAATATATTTTAAATTAGATTCATTACGATTATAAAATAGGTACTAAAATCCCTACGAAAATATGTTCATGTCGAGGTAAAAATGTCGATGATTATCCATGAATAAAATAATATATTGTTTATATAGGGCGTATCACGAAGAGGGCCCAGTAGGATTATCTCAAAAAGTAGTCAGAATTTAAATCTGAAAATTTGTATACAGGGGTTTATCAAAAGGATCTATTCAATAAAAATAGTGTCAACTTCCTCGCATTTCCGGTTATACCGGAAGTCATCATCAACTCTGTTATTTCAAATGGTACACCCTGTATATTATTACATTAATGGATGCAAAATGAAATTTACTTTAAAATGATGCTATAGTTTCCTATAGGTACCCAAAGTTAACAGTTCTTGTGTAAATTGGAAATTATTGATTTAAACACAGAAAAATCTACGTGATACACTCTGTATAATTTTCTTCAATTATTTTTTGGAATTTCAAACAGACTATTTTTCGCTAATTTCGAACACTCCGTATTTTATAAAAGTAATGTATCCAGGCATTGTGTTTTTATTAATTTGTGGTCCTGAAGTTTGGCTAAATTTTTTAGATACACCCTGTATGTAGCACACCTAAATAGGTTTATGTGTCAATATTTCAAATGAAGTGTACTATGGTCAAATTTTGTACCTAATATTATGTCATATACCTACAGGGTTACAACTTTTCAATTTTCCAATACAGGTATCTTTCTTATTTTAAGAGATACACAATTGGTTAAATTGGCAAAATTGTGCGGAATTTTATGCCGATCACGGAGTCGTTTTTAAATTTAGAAAATTCCGAATAGTTCCGAAGATATTCGAAGGAACCCGATTTTATGCTATTTCCTTTTCTAGTCGTAGGTATTTCACTTGTTTTTCAAAAATTTTCGGATAAAAACGTGTAGTCTGATATTAAATGATATGATGAGTCGATTTTTTCTATTAGTATTAACGTATCTCTAAAAATGTGTGCTGAGCTTTTGTTTTTGTTGTGGACGTCATATTGAATTTTGCCCCATTAGAAAAATAGGGAAATCCTCTTTATAACGATCTATAATTTATGGGGTTTTCGTAAATAAATAACCAAGTTATTGAATATAATTGTAGTTTTAATAAAATAGAAAATAAAAAAGTTGTAACCTTGTATGTATTCAAACAATAATATATTTAAAAACTAAGAATTTTATCTTGTTTCCTTTTTTTGTCAATATAAAAACAAGTCGACATTTTTTGTTGAAAATACGGATTATTATATTAAATGAATGTCAAATTACGCTGTCTAGCTTACTGGATTTACTCCCTTTATATAATTTTCCGAAAAACTAAAAATTATATTGTTATCTCTAGTTATCGCAATTTGTCATCGATCACTTGAATTTCAGCTGTATTTATATATCGCTATTATCACTATGAGATTACGGATAGCGTCTGCTGATAAACGGTCATATGCAAATTATTAAAAAGAAATAAAAAATATATGTACATTATTTAGATATCTATAAAGTTCAAAACGTTATAGTTGATGATAGAAAAGAACCTAATGCCAGTTAAATAATTCGTTCTGTAATTTAATCCCAGTCATAAAAGAAATATAACTGTCATTGTTATACGAAAAATCACAAGTTAAACACCGAGATTCCCGAGTAAATAAGTACATCGCTAAATAAAAGGGACGTTTTTTTTCGAGCTGCCTGTTTTTTCTAAAACAATATCAGAACTAACATCCGTACAACTTCTACTCCAACAGAGATACAGGGTAAACATTCGACAGAAAGAGAGAAAACAAGTGAGGGCGTCCGCGACAAGTGCCTACTTCGATTCTACTCCCGAGTTCGCGTCCGCGATCATTAGTTACAAGTTAGCCGCCGTGGTAGTCGGTATTGAGTGTCAAAGTTTCAGCTTGAGCACGTGTACCGAGTTAAAAATCTTATCGTAATGTTATCAGATTTTCAGTAAGTCAGATCGTCCCGAAAAGCGCCCACATCTCCTGCAGAACTCGAAGAAACATTTTACTATGCCTTCTGACTTCTTTGTGAGTGAGTGATATTTTGAAAAAAAATTTGTGCAGTGCCGCTAATACCCAGTTGTCATGATTATATCAAAAGATCTTTTTCTGCTGGGGGACCAAGACTACTTGAGGCTCCCTAATAAAGACGAAAAGAGGCCAGCTATGATAAGACCTGTCGTCAAACCACAGAGGTAGGTAAATATGTGTACTTATCTGACACAGAATGTCGAATCACCACAAAAAAGTGACAACATTATAACAGGTTTTTCGGTATGTAATTCGGTTTCTTGCTAACACACTTTACGTACGCCTTTCAGTCGGCTAAAACGATTGGCGAGTTGTTTAGTTGCTCGGGTAATTGCATTTGTTTTCTAGAACGTGTCAACGATTAAAGAGGCATTTTTCCCCTCCAAGCAAAAACAGAACCAGACCAGACTTCGGTTTTTGTTGTAAACAAACATATTACACTAAAATAGTAACCCCTTTTTGCGAAAAATCACATGTTGGTTATTTGCTTAGTATTTTTATGAACTGCTAAAATGTTTTAGCAAATAATAATGTGTTCATTGACACCTCAGCCATCAACACGTTTGGAAATATTCCAGTTTCGTGTTCATTACGCATTCAGCCTATGTACAATATCACTCACCTATATCCATCTACAATTAACGAACGAAAAAAATAATTATGGACGGGCATGCTGAGATTCTCCGTAAATTTAAATCTACCATACTTGGAATAGTAGTTTCACATATTTATACGGTGGGTTATGAACCGGGCTACTTTCTAAAGTTAATAAGAAATATTTTATTTCACCGACAATGGTTAAGTATTTACCGGGCGGCCACCAAACCAGGTCACATCAGATTTTGCCTTCGTTTTGGAATTAAAAAAAAAACGTCGCCTTTAAAGTCGGTGCAGATTTGGGCACGTATGCAAGCAATGAAATCAGCAACCATTCCGTTGTCAGTTAATACACATCTTTGCGTAAATTTTATTTCTCTGAAAAATCCAAATTGAAAAATCAAGCTTCATGATATATTTCTAAGAGAATATCTCCACTCACTCTAATATAATTTTTATCAGCAAGCAAGTATTTGAAAAATTCAAAAACGGTACAAATGTTCGGTACCTAAAACCTCGTGGATCTAATATAGTGCAAAGAAATTGACGTACCTGTCTTCCTTAGCGTTCCCGACATTTGTATTTGTTATCGTTTCTGTTCTTTAAATATTTTTTTTACGACGAATAATGTCTTCCGCTGCTCGAAGAGAATTCCTCTTCAAGCAGTGATTCAGGAAAATAATCGCGAACTATTTTTCTTGCCGTATCCCCTTGTTTGTTTTTCTGCTCAAATGTGAACGCAGAATTACATTCATCTTCTGTAAATTTTGATTTTTTTTTAATAAAAACGTATATAGAAAACCGGCTACTGGTATGTATATGTACTGGTATACCCTGTAATATTAACAAAACTCGATATACCATAAATACGAAGTATAGCAATTAATAATATGTAATCTGTTACAAAAATCGAAAGGCTCCTATTAATGTATTATATTTATAGTTTCAAATATACCCACATCTCGAATATTTTAATGTGAAATATGATATCTTGAAATTAATATAAATTTGTTTAATAAAGAATGGAATTAATTCTACCTAAACTATCACTATCTCACATACAAACATCTCAAGGTCATTATTTCAGTGCCAACATATGTACGTTATTTTTTTAGTGCCATTTTCGGCAGTTTTTATAAAATAAATTAAGCGAAAATACAGGATATTTTAATATTTATTGTAACGAATCCGTATTGAAAGAATACTGGGAAGTTTAGTTTGAATATAACACTACAGTGATACAAATAGAACGCAAATCATTCTGTTAAGTAAACAGAAAAAACAAAATAAAAATGAAAAGGCAAAAAACGTACTTGAATTGGCCATGTGTACTCAGGGACAATGAAACTGTAGCTTCGTAAATGCAATAAACAAGAGAGACACTTTTTTCTGTTATTTTGTATATGTTTTTATATATTCTAAATAGGTTAGCACGTTATTTTTAAACGGAGAACATTTTTTTTAAGATAAATAGTCGCAGTTCATATTTTTGGATATTTACGTTAGTTTACGCTCCTATCGTAGGAAAAAAACAGCTAACTTAAAACCGATCTTAAAATTGTGATGTAGTTAAATATTTAAACAATTTGGCGCGTTATCTTTGTATGTTAGATTAGAATTTTTTATCTATAGTTAAACGTTCGTATAAATGCTTAAATTTTTAATTAATATTATTTTGTTTTTAGTCCTGGATGTTCTTATAAAGAGAATTTTTCCTTTAATTTGTAAATGTAATAAAAAAGTGACACTGACCTATATTTTTCATACATACTCGAAAAATGGTTATCAAGACAGCAAAACTGCTGATTTTAAATTTTCAGAATAAAACAAAAAACAGAAAAACATAACGTAATATTATTTGAATATTTTTTTATCCTTATGGAAAAAAATATATTCACATATAGGATCATATAAAATCCAAATACTTCAGAAGACGATAGATCTTCAAAAATAAAGTTCAGTTAGTTCCTGGGTCCAGGATTTTGATATACAGGAAAATTTTGAGATATATATATAAGAAAGACGTCACCAATTTGGAAATACTTTTAGAATACTTAGAATACTTTAGAGCTTAGTTCTTCATAATTTTTCAGATTTAATTAAAAAAAACTACGGATACTCCACAAAATATGTATGTGTGTCAATGTTACAGGTATTGTATCTGCAATAAAACAATATTCATTGATGAACGTGACTTTAAAATCAAAATAAAATTCCCTAAAATGTTGGTTTTACTTATGGGTAACTATGACACTCTTTTCTCATATTTATTTAGAGCTCTCCTCCGAGCTCTCTGAAGGAGGTTGTAAATTTAATTTAAAAAAGAGACAGGTAGGCCTGAAGGTACGGAAGAGTGACATACACTTTCGAAAAACGAATTACAGAGTAATTGGAAAATGAGAAAATTTTTCTTTAACATCTGTATCTCGAAAATGAAGCGGCTCTATGTTCATATACAGGGTGTTCCTAAATAAGTGTCGTAACGGAAAACAGTAAATTCCTCTTGAAAGAAGAAACATTTTTCTCCTCTTCCATTTTTCTCTCCGGGCTTTCGTTTTCGAGATACAGGGTGTCAAAACTTTATTTTTTTTTTAGTTTTTTGCCAATATCTTAGGAATCGTTTGAACTACAGGACTGAGCTTTTGTACACACATTACTACTATTAATAGCTACTTTTTCGCACCCTTCTCGAATTCATTGGACGTGCCAGTGGTGGAGATTTTAAGGTATCGTAAGGGTTTTTCCCCCCTAAATTTTACGCCACTGGAAAAATTGACTTTTGACAGCAAATTCTAAAGCGCCAATGAATTTTACACAATAAGAGTTCTCTTGGTTCATTGCTCTAAAGTCAACCGTTTTCAAGAAAAATGACTTTTTATGAACAAAAGCAAACATTTTGCTAACGTTTCGAAAATCTTTTGTAATTCAAAAAATAGGTAGTAATAATTAACAATTTTAACGAAATTTAACAACAGATAGGATTTTAACTTTTTTTTATCAATTTGGCGAGTAAAATTTACAGAAACTGTTCAAAATTACGTCCGTTGGCTTGAATGCACGCATTACATCTTCTAATCATGTTTCTTTCTGCCGCTGCGGCTTCACCTCTATCGGTCAACTTTTCGATAGTATTGACATGGAACGTTAGCAAAAATGTTTGCTTTTGTTCATAAAAAGTCATTTTTCTTGAAAACGGTTGACTTTAGAGCAATGAACCAAGAGAACTCTTATTGTGTAAAATTCATTGGCGCTTTAGAATTTGCTGTCAAAAGTCAATTTTTCCAGTGGCGTAAAATTTAGGGGGGGAAAAACCCTTACGATACCTTAAAATCTCCACCACTGGCACGTCCAATGAATTCGAGAAGGGTGCGAAAAAGTAGCTATTAATAGTGGTAATGTGTGTACAAAAGCTCAGTCCTGTAGTTCAAACGATTCCTAAGATATTGGCGAAAAACTAAAAAAAAATTAAAGTTTTGACACCCTGTATCTCGAAAACGAAAGCCCGGAGAGAAAAATGGAAGAGGAAAAAAATGTCTCCTTTTTCAAGAGGAATTTACAGATTTCCGTTGCGACACTTATTTAGGAACACCCTGTATATTTGTTTTATTCATTTTTACGTGAGGAATCTTCAAAGTTTGTGGACTTACTCCTGAAACACCCTATATATTGATAATAAAGAATAAGCTTACGATTTTGTCTTGCAATGGAGATAATTGGCGAATAAATCTCTGAAATCGTAAGCGATCTATTACTGTTAAAATTCTCCTGGTTTTGGTTAGTGCCTAATAAACTCATATCGGATTTTGGTATTGGTCTAATTTATCCCGCACATAAAACAAGTGATAAAAGCGTAATAAAAAGCCAGAAGACATACACCGCGAGTGCTGTTATTTGTTTCCGAAATGGGGTACAAATTGGTACCAGTTTAAGACGAATAAACTTTTTTATTTACTTTTTAACTTCTCAATTAGTACACTTTTAATTAGGGTACATATTAAGATTTCGCTGATGATAAAAGCGAGGAGTTTAAGAGGCATCTACAAAAGGGTAAAATGATACTTATTGGTTTGTCTTTTGTAATTTTTAAATTTAATTTCTAGTAGGTATATAACTGTTAATATTGTTTCAACAAAATCCAATTTATCACATTTGGCACATGCCAGGGTCACATATTCTTTAACAAATACACTTTCAGCAGATGTTATGTTATATATTTTTAGGAATCCCTCAAATCCTTATTTAAATTTTTAAGTCTTAGTTCTTATTTCACAATTTTCAAATTATTTGATCAATATTTACTTTCCCTTAAGTTTTTTATATAGAAAACTGTAAATGATTTGGTTCATACACTAGTTGTCAGGTCGCATTAGTTTAATTTAAAGTTGCTTAAAAACGAAATGCATTGTTTGTATATGAAAATATCTCGATAACCAATGGAGATATCGAAAACGAACAAGCGAAACTTTTGTTATGAAACGAAGGACCTTCTTTAAAATTTTCAATACACAATATCCGTAATTCCAAACGCAAAAAAATGTTCCCCTATTTATCAAAGGAATCGGGCATA